TAAGCTGTCTTTGGTCTATGACCACGTACAGCAGAAGAAACACACATTCGCCCTTGAAAAAGCAAGAGTAATAGGCCGAGCCAAATAACTTATTAAAATTACCGCAGAAATTTGTCGTTAAACTAAATTTAACTCTTTGATGCGGATCGACAACTAATTTACCCCCGAATGCCAAAATAAGGGATGCTCAGCAATCGAAATAATCACTAAAAACAGTGCAATGGATTGGTATTGGCGAGGTTGTAATTATGATTGCCTACCTCATACGCCAAGTATATTCATTCCTTCCAGGATGCCAATTGTTTATTTCAGATAACATGGCCACCTGCTAACCTGGTATCACATTATTCTTCGTCTACATCGTGTGCATATTCCCTTTTTGTCAATAAAGGATGGCCAGGTTGCTGCTAAAGTTGGTCCTTGACTGGCACACTAAACAGAGCCATGGACCTTCATTCCGCCTACCAAACGCTCCGCAGAAGGCTAACATCGGCTCAGAACGGAGCAATAGGTCGGGCAGAGCCGACAGCCAGCAGCCACGAGCAAAGAGGGTGGAAACGCTCATGAGACACAAAAACGACTTGACACTGCTCATGAAGACGCCCGTGAGGGCACGAGTAATTCAAACAGCTACAGAAATCGATCGGTGCAATCGATTGACACATGGGCATAAGGCAAGGCAAGTGGTCGGACACATTCATTTGACGCGAACAGGAGTACAGACAACACGCTCTGAGGATGGAAGCGAGCGCGATTTTGAAACGTCAGCCAAAATACACATCGGTCCCAGAAATCGTCTCTCCTTCTTCTTCCTCTTTCGGGATGATGAAAGGAAAAGTCAAGAATACTGGAGGTGGGATCGGGCGCAAGGCCGTCGGTCTGATGCGCGCCACAATAACACCTGGCTAGGATCCCAGCTCCCTGGTGGCGCCATGAAGGCCACGACAGGAAGGCGCCAGTGCAGCTTAATTCCCAGCCCTCCAGTCAGCCATTCCACTAGACAAAGCACACACACACACTGGACTGACTGCAGTGTCCGAGTCATTAGTTGGAAATCCTCCAAGTCAGAGCTTTTAGCGTCCCCTGACAGCTTCAAG